CACACATATATACACACACACACACACACACACACACACACACACACACACACACACACACACACACACACACACACACACACACACATCTATCTCAGTCTGTTATTAGAATTAACACATCAGTTCCCCATACTATAGTTCTATTACCTGTTGATCCTTCCATCAGATGTTGATTTTCCACTTCCTTTAACAGGATGACAACGCCGTCTGTTCTGTAGTGGAATCACTGCAGTGTTGCCACCCTATGGACAGGGTAATCTTAGATGGACATGCCATTTAAGATGAACTTTAATGAAATTAGAACCCGAAACCAAAACACCCTCATTAGTTTTGGATAGAGCAAGGGAGGGTCATACCCCTGTCAACTTTTTATTGCTATCTTTGTCCCATGGCGAGAGATTTCCCTTCACTTCCTGTCTGATAGCCACAGGAGGGAGTGAAAGGAAATCCCTCCGAAGAGAAGGGAGATCCCTGGTGGTCACCAGAACTAATGTCCCCGTTGGAATATTTCCCATCTAATCCTGTTCTGCTGACAATCCAAAACTTTGGGATTTTCTTTCACTTTCAGTGATAACGGTCACCAGGACAAATAGAGGGGATGAATCTTCCTAATGGGGGGCACAGACGGCAATAAAAACCTGACTTTTTATTTTTTACTCAAATTATATACAAAAATAAATAAATTATATATATATATAAAAAGCTTTATTATTAATATTAATAATAATACGTTTTTTATAACTCTTGGCGCCATATAAATTCTGTGTAAGAATATTGTTGTTGTTTTTGATAATAATAATAACAAATCATATTCTTATACAGGATTTATATGGCGCCAACAGTTATAAAAACCTTACTATTAATAATAATAACCACAATAATAATATTCTTATACAGGATTTATATAGCACCAACACATTACAACATATGGTGAGAATACGATTACAATACAATGGAATACAAAAGCATCGGAAGGCCCTTCTCGTGAGAGCTTACAATCTATTTTCCATATAAGGATCTGGGATTTGTATATGACATATGATGATCGCAAATGACTTCGGCTTCGCTGAAAAAAAAAATCTATAAACAAGCGATGCAAAGACGGATCCTAATATGGATGTGGGTTTTATAAGCAAACAAAAATGTACATTTTATACCTAATTTTAAATAAAAAGGAATTTTAATGAATAAAATGTCTGTGCAGATGCTTTGGATCTATGAGAGTCCTCATTTACATAGATGTATTTTTGGATTGAATTGTACGGAATGCGGATTCCACTTTAATTTTTAGCCTGAAATTTGTAATTAAAGTAAAGCTGAAGCAAAATTCTTTTTTTTTTTAATATATAACCACTGTTGGCTTTTTTTGACATCTTTGTGCCATTGGGGAGATTTCCCTTCACTTCCCATCCGGTAGCCACAACAAGAAGTAAGAGGAAATCCCTTAAAAGTAAGGGAAATCCCTGGCGGTTAGCAGGGTCACGAGAACAAGTGTGCCCATTGGAAGATTTCCCATCTGTTCCTGCTCTGGTGGCAACCCAAACATTTTGATTTTCTTTCACTTTCATTGATGATGCTAACCAGGACAAATAGGTTATGAGGACAAGAGAGGGAGAAGTAGAGGAAGAATTGGGCAGTAGTGAGAGGAAGGGTAGGTTATGAGGACAGGGAGGGACTGTAGAGGAAGAATTGGGCAGTAGTGAGAGGAAGGTTAGGTTATGAGGACAGGGGAGGGGGAAGTAAAGGAAGAATTGGGCAGTAGTGAGAGGAAGGGTAGGTTATGACTAGGGGGAGGAAGAAGTAGAGGAAGAATTGGGCAGTAGTGAAAGGAAGGGTAGGTTATGACTAGGGGGAGGAAGAAGTAGAGGAAGAATTGGGCAGTAGTGAAAGGAAGGGTAGGTTATGACTAGGGGCAGGAAGAAGTAGAGGAAGAATTGGGCGGTAGTGAGAGGAAGGGTAGGATATGAGGACAGGGAGGGAGCTGTAGAGGAAGAATTGGGCAGTAGTGAGAGGAAGGTTAGGTTATGAGGACAGGGGAGGGGGAAGTAAAGGAAGAATTGGGCAGTAGTGAGAGGAAGGGTAGGTTATGACTAGGGGGGGGGGGGAGTAGAGGAAGAATTGGGCAGTAGTGAAAGGAAGGGTAGGTTATGACTAGGGGGAGGAAGAAGTAGAGGAAGAATTGGGCAGTAGTGAGAGGAAGGGTAGGTTATGAGGACAGGGGAGGGGGAAGTAAAGGAAGAATTGGGCAGTAGTGAGAGGAAGGTTAGGTTATGAGGACAGGGGAGGGGGAAATAGAGGAAGAATTGGGCAGTAGTGAAAGGAAGGGTAGATTATGACTACAGGGAGGAAGAAGTAGAGGAAGAATTGGGCAGTAGTGAAAGGAAGGGTAGGTTATGACTAGGGGGAGGAAGAAGTAGAGGAAGAATTGGGCAGTAGTGAGTGGAAGGGTAGGTTATGAGGATGAGGGAGGGAGAAGTAGAGGAAGAATTGGGACAGTAGTGAGAGGAAGGGTAGATTATGAGGACAGGGGAGGGAGAAGTAGAGGAAGAATTGGGCAGTAGTGAGAGGAAGGGTAGGTTATGAGGACAGGGGAGGGAGAAGTAGATGAAGAATTGGGCAGTTGTGAGAGGGACGGTAGGTTATAAAGGACAGGCAAGGGAGAAGTAGAGGAAGATGGAGGCTCTCTTGGGTCCCTAAAGCCTCCCTATAAACAGTCAAAGACTGGGTCATCACCCTAAAATATACATCCTATTCTGAGCTAGCATTCACCAAATCCATAACTGGGGAATGGATTATATTCCAGAAGTAATTACATCTCAAGATCCTTTCACAGAGTCAACAATAATATGTTGATCCAGTCCCATCCCCCAGTGACGGATTGTACGTCATCGATATATCTGCTCTATAGAAAGTAGATGTGTTCCTAATCCAGGTAGAACCTTGGGGAGAGCGGTCTCTTTCTTTCGTGGCCTCGGGCTTCCATCTTTCAGCATGTGATGTCTGTTTATTTTCCTGGTATAACGAGCTTTATATACTGTGGCGCTGACCTCCTGAGAGCATACTGTTTATAGAAATAGAACGCCTTTGTTTGAGGCTGTTTTAGTACTTGCGGAGACTGTCAGAAAAGTATATAGACGAGATGAAAATGTAAACAGTCAGTTTTTATGCAGAAGACCTCCCCGGTTTAAAGACTTGGCATTATACTCTGTGCCATGGACGGATGTGCAGACACAATGTGACCAATGGATGATTTATTCTTTGCTAATGTGTATCCCTAGATTAAAGTGTATGGAAAACCGAACAAAGAACTTCTCTTATTTGATCACTCTTGGTCTGTCAAAAATACCACTGGAAGTGTTTCCCTATATAAGTTCAAAGATCATGTCAGAAAATCAGAGCTGCCAGGTGTTATCTCAAGGAATGTAATCAGCCCTCCCAGTTCTTACCTTGAATCATAGAATAATTAGACGCTATAATGTGGATATGAGGACAGTGAGTGAGATCATTATTAGTTAAGATATATAGAGTTTATATATAGGATTTAAATCGCACCAACAGTTTGAGCAGCACTTTACAGTAGTTTAGCAAAAGACAACTGGGCAGGACTGACACCATTCAGTCCACCAGCAAGAAATTTGGACTTTAGTGCATTTTTGGCAGGCTGAGTATTCTTCTTTATTGCTTGGCCTTTGAAGGGTTAAAACACGGGGAAATGTGCATGTATTGTTATTTTAAAGCGCTGCTCAAACTGTTGGCGCTATATAAATCCTGTATAATAATAATAATTATTTATTTATTTTTTCACCTTGACAAAAGCTTTAAAATAAGAATTATCACTAAATAAGCAGCCAATATGCTGCCAGATTCTAAATTTAAGAAGGTATTGGTATGCAGCAGAAAGTTTGGACCCAGTGGTTCGGGCCGTATGGAGCTGACGCAGTTTACTCATCCTCTTATGCTTCCTGCAGAGCCGGTATGGATAGGCATGGGCACTAGGGCTTAGCAGAGTCCTTCTACGTTTTACAATGGGCCTGTGATGCTATTGTATGAAAATGGTTTGTTGGCGTAGATATTAAAGTGCTTTGAATAAAGCTAAGCACTCATTTGGTCTGTGGGTATTCGGCCTAGGGGCGCCATCCCTCCTGGTGTAAGGTCCTGAAAGGGGGAACCCCAAGGGTGGGAGAGTGTAGAGAAGTCCAGGAGAAGGGAAAAGGTTGAAAGGGTCACAGGGTCAGAGATGAGAGAAAGTGGGGAAACGGTATCACGTGTCCAGACCAGGGAGGTGCATTCCCCTAGGCTGAGAGACACCAATGTGTATTATGAGATGATGGCTCTGAATGGTGGGGTACCCAAGAAAGCGCTCCAGGCACTCCAGATGGTGATATAGGTGGTGTACCGATCATGGTATTGACATGCCGGCTCCTCCCAGTTGTTTTAGATGAGTTAGTTAAGCAATCCACCCCTAAAAGCAGTTCTTTAAGACCGGGCCGTCCAAGATTGTGCAGTTGAGTCTGCACACATGGTGTGACCCATTATGAGACCCTCTCACCATGCCTACACTGAGATCCTGGATCTGCACACTTGCTGTGGCCCATTATGAGGGGTTCCCACCATGTCTGCATTTAGTTCCAGGGTCTGCACATCTGCTGTGCCCATTATAAGGGGCTTCCATTGCCCTTCTGCATTTTTTATATAGAATTGTAACATTATATAGGATGCAACAGGAGGAGCCGGGACACACAAATGTGGGTGGGAACACCCAAAATTCCCAAATGGACAGGAGCAGAGTTGGAAGTTAAGGCAGGAATATCATAGATATGTAGGAAGCAGGGAGGATGAGACTGTCCACCATGCTCCAGTGATAACCTTATATCACTTTGGGTGGGCTTACCCTTCAATTTTCAATTTTGACTGATTTTTACAAAAATTTCCAATGCACAACTTTGACATATCTACAATCCCATCCGCGGTTATGGTAGATTTCTGGCTTATAAGATGTTTACATCTTCTGTTGAGAAACTCTCCCATCCGCCTGCCTCCTCCCAGTTATGTACAGTGGTTGGATGTTTATACTGTGTGTCTGCACAGGTGCACGCCGCTGTGTGGGTGTTGTATGTCACCGAACAATACGCCAGCTTAGCACATCTATATACAGGCTCCTTTGTGTAATGCCTTCTTCAGAAGCAAACTGCCGGGAGCCTGATTTTGCTTTTTATCCGGGATCCGTCCATGAAGACGCAACCAGGGTCGGAGACAAAGGTTCAGTTCTGGGGAGGTGTGTAAGGGATTAATGCCTTAACCAATAGTAATGGGTTTACCATTTACCAGCTGATGTAGCTATTGTAGTTGGAGGGAGGGGGGAGGGCTGGGAAAGTGAGGCATTTGGTAATTGCTCTAAACATTAACAAGATGCTTATATGTTTGCCAATCTTCCAAAAAAGAAAACAAAACTCTACTTATCACCGTAACGAATCAGATTAATCCGTTTATTTTGAAAGTTACACTGGAAAAGTAACTTTTTTCAATCTTACTGGTTGCCGTGGGTAACATTATTTTTTTTTTTCCTTTTAGACAGACTAGCTTGGTGGTAGTTGCTTGAAAAGCAAGGATCTACGGTTGACCTGGCAACCACAGTCTAATAGTCCAAGTACAAATGTATTCCAATGCAGGATCAAATTAATTGGGATTAAGTTGTTTGGCTTGGGGCTTCCATCTTAGATCCCTTTAGTTACAATACAAACCAAGGAAATCGTGGAAATACTTTTGTGTGTTGAAGCTGCCTGGCCAAAACTCGAAAACCTTGTTTACACGCCACTGCAGCACCACTAGATAGCCACACCAATAGGACAACCCCAGATTTCCAGTGTTACTTATCCATTACTTAGGGAAAGAGACCCTATTAGATTGACAACTACTAGATATTAGAACAACTGTAGCAGTAATATGCAAATCAACTTAGCAATCAAAGAGATAGTTTCAGCATGCAATTCATGATTGCTAAAATTGTATGATTATAAATTCAATGGGGTGAAACAGTGTTAAAAGAGAATGCATTGACTCCTCGGAGGTGGGGCTTGTTTTACATTGTGTCCACTATTATTCCTTTTTCAGGTGGAGATGGAGAGGGCTCTGTTGGAAGGAGAGCTGATGACAGATAAGAAGGAGATAGAGAAGGAAGAAGAGATGATCCGCGTCTTGCACGAGCAGCTCAGAGAGACAGAGAAGAAGTGGCAGGAAGAGAGAGAAAAGGTAAAGTAGTGATAAAAGATCCCCTGTGGGCAGCGGCGTATAAGCTAATGAATCTTTTTCATAGGAAGGGCTAATATGTTGCCCTTCCTTTTCAGCGTTTAACATACATTGTTGCAGCTGGTGTCTAATATTTACTCCCAGCGCAAACTAATTTGTTTGAAATCTTTTTCATAGTGTGTTAATGGATTCGTTGCAATTGGTCATTTGCATGTTGCACTCTAAATACCTTAAAGGAGAACTATGAGGTGAGTGCTTTTCACTCACCTCATAGTTCTAGCCGACCTGTGACAATGAGACTGTCACAAGTCGGCTCAGTAGATCGGGAGGTGAGCGAACATATACCGGCGTTCGCTCACCTCTCGATCCTGTCACGGCTCTCTGCCGTGACAGGGGAGGGGCTGGATTCCCCCCTCCCCGCTCCGATCCGCCAGCGCTGACTGGCGGAAGGGACGGGGGAGGGGGCGGGTACTAGCTGTCACTCACGCAGCTGGGTGGATCTCGACATCGATGTCGGGATCCGCTCCGGCTGTGGCGTCTCCGTATACCGCAAGCTGTAGCTCGCGGTATCCTGAGCTTAGGGTAACGGGAGGACGCTAGTATGTTTCCTCCCCTTACCCTAACGAGAACTATGGGGAAAAGCCATGACCCCATAGTTCTCCTTTAAGAAGCAAATAGTCAATGCTAACCTGAAACTCTACATTTTCTATCTCTGTTTAGCGATTACAATAAGATAATTAAAATTATAAGATAAATATAGATAATTAAGATTCTCTTTAATAATTAAAGGCCATTGTTCTTGAAGTTCCTCTTCACTGAATCTAGCCACACATGCATATTATAGTCCTGACCCAATGGTAGGATCCTCCAAGCACTGACCACTGACTTACGTGCACATTCACGTTTCTATATAGGTCATGTGATCTCCGTCTTACTGCCTATGCAGCAGTGCTGTTTAGGTCCGGCTTCATCAACAGTGCTTAATAGGAGATTTTTAAAGTTCAAAAGCTTGATGATCTCCATAATGTGTTGCTGCTTTATTGTCCAATCACAGGCTGGGGAGGATCCAAGACCAAGTTGTATTATTTAGCTGCAGTGTGATCTGTAAGAGGTCTCAAGGAATACATGACCTGCCTGCGCTCTCCAGAAGAGGTGCATGATTGCAAGACTGGCTGATTATAATTTCAACTCCTTTGACAGCCAAGACAGTTTTACTTTATATACATTTCAATTGTATATTTATCTGGATGAGCATGAGCAGTGCCAGTGTACTGACATCATGGTCATTAATGTATTACAAAATCTCTAACACTGTAATAGCAGCCTATGATGTATGGAATAAATTATATACACAATGTTATCCATTTTGTGCACAATTTGTTATCTTTGCACCCATGCAATTTGAATGCAAAGTCTTCCCTTGTTGTTGCAGGATAAACGCCAGCTGCATTATGAGAAGCAGAAGGTGAAGGATCTGGAGGTGAAGATAGCAGAGTGTCGCGCACAGCTGGAAAAGCAGCCGGAGAGTTTACGGGAGCAGCTCAGGAAGCAAATCCATGAGGTTAGTGGGGGACCCAATGGTCACAATCACTTTGCTATTGCTGCCGGTGCTTTTATATCAAAAATGTCTTCTGATGGGGGTGGGTCACTCATTATGAAATCGGAAGTATCTGCCTATTCCGAAGGAAATGCAATTATCTGATTGCAGTAAATATTACCAGCTATGGACAAGGCAGGTGCAATTGTTTCGTAAAGGCTGATGCATGTCTAAATGTTGGTGTCGCCCATAACAATCTTTGCCTAACTTTGTAACCTTGGCTAAAACAATAGCAGATAGAATCAGACTGTTTGCTGTTTGGCGACTGCTGTGATTTCCTGCTCGGGTGTAATAAAAAGCTTTCAAATGAAGTTCCTGAATAGGAGGAATATGGAAGTGGGTGGTTGTCCTCTAGTAGAAGGCTCTATGTTGAAGGATTCATCAATATACAGAGCTCATTTAGACAGGACTAATGAATAAAATGGGGCTTAGGGATGGTTCCTCTCTAGATAGTCTTTTAGTGTGCTGTGTTTATCAGCACAATGTTCTTAAGATGGAAGTTCCAGCTGTGGTGGGTTTACATGTATACAGCTGTTGTCTAGGTAGACCTTCTAGTTGTATAGATTTGTGAACATATGGTCCTTCTGTAGATGAAGATACTAATTGGACAGGGCGTGTTGCCTCTTAGATGGCATTCAGATGGAGTTCCTGATTAGGAGGAGTATTGAAGTGGGTGGTAGTCCTCTATTAGAAGGTTCTAAGTTGGAGGATTCATTACAGAGCTCATTTAGACAAGACTAATGAATAAAATGGGATTTAGGGTTGGCTCCTGTCTAGATAGTCTTCTAGTGTGCTGTGTTTATCAGCTTCTGAAGATGGAAGTTCCAGGTGTGGTGGGTTTACATGTATATAGCTGTTGTCTGGGTAGACCTTCTAGGTGTATGGATATGTGGACATATGGTTCTTCTGTAGATGAAGATACTAAGTGGACAGGGCTTGTTGCCTCCTAGTTAGCATTCAGATGGAGTTTCTGATTAGGAGTATTGAAGTAGGTGGTTGTCCTCAAGTTGAAGGCTCTAAGTTGGAGGATTCATCAATATACAGCGCTCATTTGGACAGGACTAATGAATAAAATGGGGTTTACTGATGGTTACTCTCTAGATAGTCTCTTAATGTGCTATGTTTATCAGCACGCCGTTCTCAAGATGGAAGTTCCAGGTGTGGTGGTTTAACACGTATATAGCTGTTTTCTAGGTAGACCTTCTAGCTGTATAGGTTTGTGGACATATGGTTCTTCTGTAGATGAAGATACTAATTGGAGAGGGCTTGCTGCCTCCTAGATGGAAGTTCTGAATGCCAGAGGTATATCAGTGAATAGTTCTTCCCTATGTGGAGTTTCGGAGTAGGATAAACCTTTGAACTTACCTTCTTCTTCCAGACGTCTGAGATGATGGAAACCGCTGTGAAATCCTTTGAAGACTTGGAGTTCCAGCAGCTGGAAAAGGAAAGCAGCCGGGAAGAGGAGAAGGAGGCCTCCTACAGACAAACATCACAAAACATTGCCAAACGGCAAAACGAGTTGAACAAAAGGAAGGTAATATTACCAAAAGTGAAAACTACGACATATGTTGTGTTGAGAATGATTTTGCAGTTTAAAGGGACACTGTCGTGAGAGATTAATGGGGGCTGCCATTAATTAATTCTCCTTTAAGAATGCTAGATCCATGGCTGTCATTCCGATGCTGTGATGAGTCACTGCAAGCTGGTCTTTGGACTTGACTGAAACATACCAAAGTGGGAAATTGCCAGGAATCTAGCATTTCAGAAGGAGACCTGCAATGGCAGCCCACATCATTTCTTGATGACAGAGTCATTTTAATTAATGTTATGGTTTTGGCATTGTTTAAAAATGTGATGTTGGAATTAGAATTTTCCTTTTAAAGCACTAATAATTTTTTTTTTCAGGATAAAATTCTGCGCTTGGAGGAGCAAATCCGCGGTGCGGAGGAACAGGCGCAAACTGAGAGATTAAGGATTAGTGAGGAGAACACGCGGGTCTTCCAGTCTCTGAATAAGGTAAATTGGTTGTGCAATTTCCTTTGGCAAAGACATAGGCACAGGATGTATTGTTGCCAGTCACAGTTTTGTGCGGGCATGGGTGAACTGGGTTAGCACCATTAGTCCTAACCCAGGTGTAATTCTCAGTGCCTGTTCTCATTTTGCACGTGTGGACCGTGAATTGCATGTATAGACTACTTCTCTTGTCCTGTATGCTGGTTGTAATTTTCAATATATGGTATAATATACATAGACACTGCACCGTAGCACTTCTCTTGTATGCTGAGTACAATTCTCAATATCTGTTCTTTATATATGGATTTTGCACGTTAGCACTTCCCATTATGTATGCTGGTTGTAAATCTCCGTATCTGTTAATATGTCTACATTGGCCCTGCATAGTATCGCTTCTCTTGCTTTCTGGAAGGGATTCTTGGCATCTGTTCTTATTTGTGCAATACGTCAAACCTCAGAAAATTTAGCCATGTGGACCCTCAGTGTATTCAGTGAGCCCATAATTGGCCGCCATGGCGTCGGTTAGAGTTTAGGTCCACTTTATGTGACTGAACTTTACTTGGGAAATCATTTAGATAAAAACCTGCAATCCAGCAAAACCACAAAGTCCTAACCGGATTCGGAGTTCCTCTTTCACTTTAATCTGACAAACAAAAACTGAATGGGATCCTGGCATGGTGCCATATTGTCCTGGCGAGTGCGTCACACCCAGCGTATGCGGAGCTGTGAAATCTCAGTGTCAGAGACAGCTCATCCAGGCCTTGTGATGCTGATCTATACCAGAGCCCCGTGCTGGGAAGCAGCTCACATGTGGCTCAGTGATGAGAAGGAATCCAACACGTCCGATTGCTAAAAGTGATTTTAAAGGGACCATACCCTCCAAATTTTGCATTTTCAAGTTGTATATGGATTAGTATCAGATGAAAATATTCTGGTCCTGGGACTTTTCCTAGTTTTACTAGAAGTGTTGGCAAAAAGTTTAGAGCTAAACTTTTTAAATTCTGTGACACTTCCGTGAATTAAAAAAATTAAAAAAAGTAAACCGGGTGATGTGTTGTAACAATACAAAACTGCTTTGTGTTTTTGTAGGAGAAGGACAGACTGTTGGCTATTGGTGCATTGAATGGGAAGGACTCTGAGAAACAGGAAGGGAAGACGAACCCCGCCAGAAAGGTGAGAACCATATTGGTTCACAAATGGACCATCTTCTGCTTGCTAGTTTGTGTCCAACTTTAATGACTTGAGATCAGGACCATCCCTACAATGCCTGAGGTTGTTGTCATCCCTAGTTGCTAAGAGCCAGGCGGGAAGATGTATACGGGCCATACAGATCTCCCCATGCTGGCCGGAGCCAGAGCTGGTCAGATGATCCACCTCCCTGTTAGCATGCACCACCAGCTAAGAAGCCTAAGCTCACCCCCATGAACATGCACCACCCACCTTCCTCCCAGGCGGTGTAAAGGCTTGGGACACCCCTGCTTGAGATGCATTAACTACGTGCCATCCACCTGTTGTATATAAACAGACAGACGGCAAGTGCCTTACTGCGGGTCGCCATACATGTACAGCGTTTTTTCCCCCTGCCCAATCACTTGTATGGTGCTGAGGAGTGAGTGTGCGCTCTGCTTCATCAGCTTCTTTGGGGGGTCCGTAGGTGACACGTAGGAGTCTTATAGACCCCTAATGTCTCCATAAAGAGGACCGGGCACTGTATATTTGCTATCACGTAGGGGACTTGTTTTTTAATTCCCCGCCCCCACGTACATGTACATAGAAATGTAAATACGCGTCAGGTGCTATAATCAGTTTATACACCTGATTATACACAGCAGCCTGTCCTTCTCTGCGGGAGTACGCGACCGTACGCTGCCCTGCGGTCACCCGACCTGCACGTCAGGGTGGATCCTGTCTGCGTCTAGGCAGGGACACCCGCACCCGTACGGACGTGCAGGTCGGGTGAGCGTAGGGCGGCATACGGCGGCATAATCCCATAGAGAAGAACAGGCTGCTGTGTACAAATCACACGCAGCACCTGTCCTTCCTGGGAGCTGCCCGATACGGCCGTGCACGCAGCACGGATCTGTACGGGCCGGCCGTTACCCGTGTGAATGAGGGCTAACTCCCCGCTCTTCAAGTGGTTAAGCTAAAATCATTATTTGCTGTATTGTGAAATACCGAAGATGGTTGCCGCCCCCTAGTGGTGGTTTTATGCACAGCATACAGATTTGTCATCACCAAAAAAGTCTTTCTGTTTCAGTTTTTCATCTGGGACTTTCCGTTGTTTTTCAAAGTCTCGGTTTATCTAGCTTTGACCCGTGACATTGTTTTTTTCCCCCCTATTGATCTCAGTTCTTTTTGGTTTTGTAATGATGAAAAACAGGATGGTAGACTGTGTAAGTGAAATGAGATCGGTCTGTGTTCTTTCTAAACAACTAGAGATTCAGACGCTGATTGTCCCACTTTCGGTTTATAGGGCAGGTTTGGATCTGCTTGGTACCAGAGGATTAGTATACCAAATTCCCATTTTACACAACCCGTTTAATAGGGACTCTTGTTCTTCCAAAAACTCCAATTTCCAGGAAAAGCTGGTGCGAGATAAACACAGATGCTGCTATTGCTGATCTCTCCTGCTGAAAATGCTAACTGCCTGGCAATCATACTTATGTTCTGGCTTTGATTACTTTGAATCACTGATCCAAAAGATGTATAAAGCTGAACTGCGGGCACAAAAACCTTTTGCTTAAACATATTCCTATGTTAGCATTTTCAAAAGTAGATCAACAATGGATGTTCTTCTGTTTCTTTTGTGATAGGGCAAGTGTAATTGAACACCTGGAGGCCATCATTGGGAACCTACCGTATCTAAGTGATTGATCAATTGATTTAGTATTTCATTCATTGATATAATGTAGAAATAGTCCAAAGTGTGTTATAGAACACACTGAGCACTTAATTGATCAGTGCTCCCAGATAAATGTCTCTATGTTAGTCACAAAGGACCAGTTTTGGTGGAAGTCAACTAGCCTGCACGTGTAAGACAATGTACATACATTGGCAGACATCTCAGGAAATTATTCCAGGACCCGCAGCACTTGCTGCAATCTTACATTTACAATCATATTTAATAAGTGTAACATTTCATCTCCTAAGAACACTAATAGATCATGATATTCTTAATACACACCTCCACATTTGTGTTTAAGACTTACAGCTTGATAACTTTTGGCAGCCCACCAGTAGCCTAACATGAGAAGGCCGTTTCATTCTTTTTATCATTTCTATATTACACTCTTAATTTTCCAGCAGGGACTTCAGAGGACTTCCAGTCTGCCCAGAAGAAGAGGAAATGCAACGTTTGTGCGACAATCTGACCGACCAGTTTCACTCCATGGCAATAGTAAGTGATCAATTAATACATAACTGAAGCTGAACTCTGAGCCAACCATTACAGGAGAATTATGGGGAGACTGAAATACACTCATGCCTATAATTAGAGCCTCTATTGATCAAGAACTGAGCGATTGCTGTATGTGATCAATCAGTTCTTGATCAATAAAGCCGGATTTTCTCCCTGCAGAGAGCGTTGACCGCCGGAACAGATGGAGGAGGGGGTGGGCACAGCTGGCTCTGCCTCTAGAAAGACAGAGCCAGCTGTCAATCAGGCAGCCGGGTGGATCCTGACAATATTGTCGAGATCCATCCCGGCTGCAGCGTGGCTCTGCGCTGTCAGCATATAGCAGGCAATAGCCGCTATATACTGAGTTTTGGGTCACAGGAGGACATAGTAAACCTCCTCCTGTGACCCTAAAGAGAACCAATGCCAAAAAAAAGGTTGGGCCATAGTTCTCTTTTAAATAAACAGATGAAATACAAATATGTTTTATCTGCTAAAGGATTTGTATTTCTTTCCATCCAGTGATTAGATTTACACATCTCTGCTACACAGCACAGCCCTTTACTGTGCTGTGCTGTGGAGACCTGATCTTACTCTAGTGCAGTTACATAGTTGCATAGTATTTGAGGTTGAATAAAGACACAGGTCCATCAAGTTTAACCTATTGCGTGTATGTATGGGATTCTGCATGTCGTGGAATATCACGGTTGGGATTGACTTTGAGGGCAATCCCTCCACTAGCCTGTTTAGGCAGCCTGGTAACACAATTTTACATGCTACTAGTGCTCATCATTGATCACTGGTTCTATACAGTCAGTATCTTGGAATTGGCAGAAACTGTTCTAGTGAGGTGGATTTTTAACAGACATCTAAAGAGCAAAGAGATTGCCTATCAGAGGCCATACTAGAAAACTTTTATAGAAAGCACATCAACGCTCTCGTAATTATACAAGGGGGAGACTTCAGTAGGGCTTTTCCATGGATCAGGTGACAATTTTATTTCCATAGGAGCCCCCAACTTCTACCGACTGGTCATGTTCTTGGGAACCTCAAATCTTTAACAATTTTCCCCCTATGAAATGATGCACAACCATTTCCCATTTTTTAAAAATGGATTCCCTGAAATATATGTGTTTTGGGGAAGTCTCACTGCACATTGTAATTTAAATGCTTTTGTGCCATTGCAGCCTGTCTGGAGAGCGCCGGCCTTGCTCTGCACCTAGCCGTATGCTCCAGCAGCTCTGGAGGTAAGATCGCCCTCGCCATAAGCCCCAATCTCCAGATGGCACGGACTCGGAATCTGCAGGGAGAGGAGAGAAGATCTTGTGGAGGAAGGCTTCAGAATGGACATCCCCGACTACCTCTGACATACGGGTAAGGCTAATAGACCTGTAGCATTCTACCCTCGAATGGTGGCCAACTATTTTAATTTCTGGAGTTTTTGGAAATTAAGCATTTTCAAAAAGACTCTTGCAGGTTTATTGAAAATGTAGTAACGTATGGCAACCCACCAGAATTCATTTTATACTCATTTGACTGAAAAGCTGAAAAAAGTTTGATCGGTTATGGCGTTTTCTCTGGCTGATGAAATAAGCCTATTGATAGAATCACAATTTAGAAGATATCTCGAAGCTTGAAGGGTACAGATAGTGGGCAGCACAGTAGCTTTGTGGCTAGCACTTCTGCCTTGCAGCACTGGTGGTCCCTGGTTGATATCTTGGTCAGGACATCATCTGCAAGGAGATAGCATGTTCTCCCTGTCCTTGCTTGGGTCTCCTCCGGGGTGCTCTGGTTTCCTCCCACACCCTAAAGACATGCTGGAAGGTTGGAAATGCTTGGCTTGGTTTATTGGATAGGGAGCTTAGATTAAAAGCTCATTTAGGGCAAGACTTTGTAAGCTCATACATGTTAACAAACCTACATTTCCCAAAGAGTAGGAACCAACTACCTTTGCTCCTCAGCTTGACTAGACTGTATGTACTTTAAGACATGTAGCTCAGTGTCTTGGTCTGCAGGATTAAAGGGGGCAGCAACAAAAAGTCTAAACGTTTTGATAGCTTTTTCCTTTTTTTGTTGAGCTCTTCTGGCCACCACTGAACATTAGTGGCCACCTTTAGAAAGAGAACTGTAAGCCAAGGGATACTGAGGAGTCCTAGGCAGTTGCAGGCCTACGGAACAAAGGGCCCTAGTGCAAGATTTTTTATTTGTCCCCCAGCCCGCCCACCCACCTACTCCTAACCCATCGGCCCATGCAACCATGCCACCTCCAATGGGGGGCCCGGGGCCAGATCTCAGTGGCCCCCCATAGCCTCAGGCTCTGGTGCAGCCTCAGTGGCTGCACCAGTGGTAGGTCCACCCCTGGTCCTAGAGCTTTTCATAGATGAGGAAAACATGCAGCCAACTCTCTTTTCTCTTGTTTGGTGGTCTGAACAAATGAAAAGCATGCATATAAAGAAGACTCCATGCTGTCTTTTTTATATGCATGGAGCAACCTGAAAATACAATACAGCCTTGTCATCAGGTTCTCATTATTGGGCACATGCTGTACAAGAGGCCTAGACTTTTGCTGCATTGCTGAGCTAAGCCCCACCCCTGCACTTCAGAAATCTACTGTGAGACTTTCTATTGGGTGCTAAGGCTCTTCACATTGGATTGGTGAATGGCGGGGGCAGGGCTTAGAAGAAGTCTGTGTCTCTGTATACTGTGTATCTGGGGAAGAGCCTCTCTTGTCACGCAGAATTTAAATATTATTTTTTATGACCTGAGAGATTTTCTTTACATTGGATTATTGGGCTGTATTTCTTTTAGAGGTCATGTATCAGTTTTATGACGGCCCTCCTTTCCCCCCCAGAAAACAAAATCTTAGCCAATGACCACATGCTAATACATAATAATTTGTATGTTTTTCTGGCTTCACAGACCAATCCCTCAGTTAGCAGAGATGGAGCGCCAGCTGCGAGAAGCCATGGCAGAGAAAGAGCGACTCCTGAAGGCCAGAGTGAGTCAATTTCTATCTGCAATGTATCTGGACAGTTTTTGAATAGTTTTACTCTTTGCACTTTATGATATAATGCCGTAGGATGTCCAGCATCATCTAGCTTTTTCCTCCCCAACCTGACTGTCCCAGGCTTGCCCTTTTCATTCATTTGATTTCAGCTCTTTCAGTTATGGAGGATCAGCCTCACATAGGGTGGCCTGCATGCAAATGAAGCCTGCCTACGATGTTCTTTCCTCCAGATTGAAACCCGCCCATCAAGACATTTTTATATTTGCATTACTCCTCCCAAGAGCACTGCTTTGGATCAGGGCTGAGGGCCCTTGAGAAGAGTGTGAGGCAGAGTGCTGGGATGTTTTTAGGAAGCTATGTACATCACCTCTCACCAGCCATGATTTGCCTGCCTTGCATAGAGAAGCCGCCACTGTTAGAATACAATAGCACGGTAGGAAGGATTCCCCCATTACCCTCTTTAGCGTGAATGGGGGAATGGAGTTTTTGTCTTCATTCAGCCTCTGGGACTAGAAATAATTAGTGTATGGCCAGCTTAACTATCAAACGAGTGCACAGAGAGGGAGAGCAGTGCAAGCTCCATAGTATAGTAAACGATGAACAAGCCTATTGCTGAAAATTGGAATAAAACACACTCACAAAGCTTGATGCAAGAGGAGCAGTAGATGAAAGCCGAAATGAGCACACACAGACTCTCCCGATGCCACCAACATGTCCTGGCCACAGGCAGCAAAAACACAACCATTGTCTGGGAAATGGAGAAGGAGACTGGCAGAGCATCAATGTCCCAAGCTCACCCCTTCACAAAACATAAGCGAGCCATGGGAACGCATTTTGGTGGTGAGGATTCCCCTGCATCAGGGCTTGGCCACAGGCAAGATCAACACAACCACCATCCAGAAGATTGGACCCTACCTCGGTTTGGAGAAAGAGGCCAGCATTGGATCAACGGTCTAGGCTCTGCCTCTTCACAAAGCATCAGCAAGTCATGGGAATGCATTTTGTGGGTGAGGATTCCCCTTAATCAGGGCTTGGCCACCAGCAAGAAAGACCCAACCACTGTCCAGGAGATTGGACCCTACCTCGGCTTGATGAAAGAGACCAGCATTGCATCAATGGTCCAGGCTCTGCCCCTTCACAAGGCATCAGCAAGTCATGGGAACGCATTTTCAAGCCGCTGGCCACAGGTAGGGAAAACACAACTACTTTCCAGAAGATGGGATACCTTGGTGCGGGAGAAGAGACTGGCAGTGCATCAACAGTCCAAGCTCAGCCCCTTGGTGGTTATCTGTGAAGGGGTGAATCATAAGCCGTTGATTCGCTGTCGCATTCTTTTCCCATGCCAAGGTATTGTCCCATCACCTGGATGGTAGCTGTTTTCCCTGGCTGTGGTCAGGGGAAACGGGGCATGATAAATTAGCATCACAGGGATAAAATTGCAACATTGTTACTAGTACAACAGGTAACACTGATGTACAAAGCATGTTCCTGTGGAATGGGACGTGTCAGAAGCAGGAAAATGCCTCTTTGAGATATTTTGTATATATGTCAAATTTGTGCAACCTTTAATTGAAAATATTACATGTTTTGAAGTCTATTTATAAACAATTCTCAGAGCCATTCACCCTGTGAATGGAAGCAAAAATGAATTATCTTTGTATAATACCTTTTTAGGTTGAATTAAATGTAATATTGCATTATGGCCACTAGATAGAGCTGAGGAGCAGAGGAAATACTTATTTCCTCTGCTCCTCAGCACCATCTAGTGGCCATAGCGCAGTATAATGACCCAAAGAGATCCCGCCTTAGGCAATAGTCTCAGGCTGCCCCATTAAAGGGATTGCCTTGCCTGTTGCAATTACTCACTTTCTCACTTTGTGCCCCCAATAGTTTATTGGGCTCACTGTGTGTCCATTTCCATTGTCATCTTTCGCTCCTTTTGCACCTAACTTTGAGTGCATTTTGCTCTGATTTTTATCAATAAGATTGTAAATCGTTCATTGCACTATGGAGCTTGTACTGCTCTCTCTCTCCCTCTCCTTGCTTTTGTTTAGTATCCCCTCCCTTTAACCTCAGTCTTCCATGCAGTCAGCCGTCCTGCCTGTCACATGACCATCACATAAGTGCTTCTGCTTTCGGAAGGCGAGTCTGCAGCACTGGCTCTGCGTTCTCAGACACATTCAGTTGCTACACAGAGCAGGTATGAGACACGACGGGGCTGTGTGTGCTTTGGTGAGTGAACTTTTCTTTGGGTACCCTGCATGTGTGTGTCCATACACGTGGATATTGTACATAGGTGACTTGGGCAAGGGACGTTTTAAGAGTTTAGAACTTGCTAATGGAAGTTGCTTCTGTTTGTGGGCAATGTTAGCCTTTACAAGAGCAGAAAAACAGGTTGTTCGTGTTTGCACAGGGCTTAACTGCAATTGAACCAGCAACCGAGGTGAAAGGGCTGTAATTGATTACCTGGATACACACATTTTATTCCACACAAAAATTGATATTATAAAGTAAGCAAAAAGGGTTCTCTGATCATCAGAATACGGATTGGGGTGGACTAATGCACTACAACAATGCCCGGATGAGACAAAGAACCTCTAAAGCTGAAGTTTTTTTCTTCTTTTTTTGGTGGATGCAGGGGCATTAAACCACCTTGAGTTTCTTCTTCTGTCAGGGGTTCTATTGGCAAGAGCTCTGCACAGTTTCTGATCTGTACACCTGATGTGCCCATTATGAAGGGTTCCCACAATCCCTGCACTGACTTTCTGGGTCTGTTCCCCCTCTGTGCCCATTTTGAGGGGTTTCCTCCATCCCTGTGTTGAGTTCCCAGCTCTGTACACCTGCTGTACCCATTATTAGGGGTTCCCACCATCCCTTTGCTGAGTTTTTGGGTCTGTACACCTGCTGTGCCCATTGTGAATGGTTACCACAATCCCTGCATTGGGTCTGCTCCCCTGCTGTGCACATTGAGGGGGTACCTGCCATCCCAGTGCTGAGTTCCTGGGTCTGCACACCTGCTGTGCCCATTATGAGGGGTGTCCACCATCCCTACACTGAGTTACTGGGTCCTTACACCTGCTGCGTTCTTATGAGGGGCCCCCACCATCCTTGCACTTAGTTCCCGGGTCCGTATACCTGCTGTGCCCATTATGAGGGGTGTCCACCATCCCTACACTGAGTTACTGGGTCCTTACACCTGCTGCGTTCTTATGAGGGGCCCCCACCATCCTTGCACTTAGTTCCCGGGTCCGTATACCTGCTGTGCCCATTATGAGGGGCCCCACTATCCCTGTTGTATTTTACATTTATTTTATGTTAACGGATGGGGCCGGGACACATCCCCCATGCTTCCTAGAGGACAGGAGCAGTGTCGGGAATAATGGCAGGGAGATCTCACTGTTGGAGGATCCAAGACATATAAGAAGCGAGAGGATGACTCAGTCTTCCAGTTTCCTTCTATAATTAAAATATTTCTTTTGGATGGGTTAATCCTTTAGGAGCCAGCGCACTGCTTGCATCATGGATGAGTACTGAGGCAGGCTGCTGTGATGTTTTCGGGAAGCTATGTACAGCACCCTGTGAAGGAAGCACAGAGGACCAGTGATGAGCTCATTGGGTCTAAAATGAAGAATATAATGAATACAGAAATGTTTTATTTGAAAATGTCATATTAGCTGATTAGACTTCAGCTGTAAACCGTGCACATGACATGACTCTACTTCCGAGGTAACTTAGAAGCTGGGGTTTGTTCAGCCGCCAAAACCTAAAAGGCAAGTCCTGAGTAAGCTATGATTCACTCGAGTCATTGCTTACACAGAGCTCTAGGCTCTCCGTATTGCAGCGCTGATATTAATATTCACTCAATTGCGCTACTTTTTTTGTTGCGCGAATAAAAATTGCTGATGTAGTTGTAGCCTCAATGTAAAGAATGAGGATCGGGGTTCCCCTTTCTGTGGCCACATCGAGGTGTGAGACAACTTCCTAGAATTTCTTCATTGCCAGCTGTTCACAATTCATTCTAGGGAAAAACCTCCTGAGGCTGTTGAGTCAAAGGGGCAACACAATTGTTAAAAATAAAACTGGTAATACATTTTTCTTTTTAATAAAAAACAAATGACACTCTCAGAGCTTTGTATTGCATCTTAAGCCATTGCTGTGATGGGAAAATACTTAAAGTGACAGTACACTCAGGAGTTAAATCTTCAAAATACATTCAAGTACCCTAAATATTAACAAGACTGTATCTTATTTGTGTATCACTCGGCTGTAGATCCTCAAATCATCTCTGAATTGGTGCTGACACTGTCCTTCCTTCTGGAGGGGGGGCTACTTTTGTTCCCCATGGTCCCTGTGTGTATTGTAAAGTAGCCACCTCTCCAAGCTCGCTCCCGGGATGGACTACAATCTCAATACAAATTAGTAAAGTAAATGTGAGATTGCAGTCCATCATGGGAGTGAGTTTGGAGCTTGGGCAGAACAGGAAGTGAGGGGAAATCCCTTTAATGAATGAACTGGAAGCTAAAGAATAAAATTGAAGGAAGCTTTATTACCGTAAACATTAACCCTAGATTTCTTTGTTTTAATTACTGTAGAGGACCTAGACTTGACAAAATAATTCATTAGAGGAATGGGAGTGGCCTTTTATCTCCAACTAAACTTTTTATTATTTGATGGAAGTGTTTGTGATAACTTTATTTTGTGTAGTAGTGAAGGGGGGGGGGGCGAGACCAAATAACCCCTTATATAGTACTGTGGAGCATAGTGTACCCAACTACATTCACAGGGGGCAGGCGAGTTCCATATAACCCCCGACACCACCTAAATGTAATATAAATACCACTGAAAATAAAAACATCTTGTGTCTTTGTAGGAAGAGAAGAGAGCAGCTATAGAGATGACCAAACGTCTAGAAGCAGAGCAGAGTCACGTGAAGGAAGAAGCTTCTGTACCGGCTTCTGTACCAGCTTCTGTACCAGCCCCGCCCATGGTGCAACCGGCCGCCCCTGAGCCTACTGCTGAACCGGTAAGTTCACCAAAACATTGCACAAACTGAAAGCTGGCCTTGCACTGTGATTACATTAAAATACCGTCACATGGACTTACCTTCTCCTGATGTGGGCACCCCGGCTTATACCTTTTTCTTGGGGGTGGGATTAAAACACCTCATTTAGTGTCTGTGTCAACCTGGCTTTAGACTTGTGGCATTGGTTTGACATCAGTTTTGACAGTTTGAGACTCTTCGAAGATCATTCAAAATTGATTGAAAGATGCGTTTGACCTGTAGTGGACCTTCTTCTGACCTGCATTTATTTCTAACACATAATCTCCATCATTACACCCTCCTTTCTGCATGGTTGCTCCTTTGCAGCTCTTGCAAATACCTGGTATGGGGGAGCATGTTACCTCCACCCGGGGTGCAATTCTCAGGCCTGGGCGGCCTGACTTTTGGGTTCTTTGCGTTGAGGTCAGCTTGTGCACTTTACATTTGTTACCACTGAACTCTGTATAATGTGAGTTTTGCTGAAAACCGCATTCAAGGTGCTGGAAGCTGGACTTTTTTCCATGCACCCTTTATGCACCAAAAAAGCACAGGTGTGAACACTCCCATAAGGTATCCGAAGACCTACCATGACAGTCCCACAATCCAACCATTTTTATTTGGATCTTGGGGATAAGCACACCTCATTTAGGGTCTGTGTCAATGGGCTTTATACTTGTGCATTTGACCTGTAGTGGACCTTCTCTTGACCTGCCAACCTATAATCACCAGTTTCTTTTTTGCAGCTCTTGCAAATACCTGTCAATTTTGTGGGAGCATGTGACCTCCACCCAGGGTGCAATTCTCAAGGCCACACACTCTCACTTGACCAGGTGGATGAGAAGGTCAACCATGTGTAGGCTCCAACACCATCCAACCTGAAGCTTACACAGGTGTTGACGCCCTTAAGCACAAAGGAGCGCAGGGAAGTGGAATGGGTGAATAATAGATTCTGTCACTTTGCCTTGAATGAGCAAAGTGACATAATCACTTTATAATGACTGTTCTGGTAATTTACAATACTGTCTCTTTTCTCTTTCAAGGCGCCTTTTGATCTGCGATCATACCTGGAGGCGTCGGGACACAGCGTGGAGACTTGTCCTAATGTGAGGGTTAGTGCCATGTGCTGTCGGGGGTACCTTGTGAAGATGGGAGGACGCATAAAAACTTGGAAGAAGAGATGGTTCGTTTTTGACAGACAGAAGAGACGGCTGGCATATTATTCAGGTACGGGCCTTTATAGCTCAAGTAATGATATCTTCTCTCCATTCCTCCTTTTCTTTACTCCCCTTCATTTCTCTTTCTACTCTTTTCTCATCCTATCTCTTTTTCTGTATATTGTGGTCTCCTTCCTGACCCTTTCTTCCATGGGAGGATGGTACTTGGGGTCAGGGGGAAATTTGCTCCCTTCAGGACAGTGCAGATAAGGTTTGTTGGGCTGCTAGCTTTGAGAGGAGATGCCACCCAAAATAGACCTTGATCACAGCGGGACCAGCAGCTTTTAGGTACCTGTGATCACAGTGCCAATCTTATGTACCCCCTCCCCTCTACTATGCAGCCTCCTTGCCTCCTCTCTCTCTTCCCACCCTTTTACAATCCAGTCTTGCAACTTCTTTCTTTTTCACTTCCACAAGTCATTCTCATGGCTCCACCTGCCCTCATCCCTACCCCCAAACTCACTAACTTCTGTTTCCCCTTCTCCACAATCCATCCCACGCTCTTTGAGACAACACTCACCGTACACCACGGCCAACAATTATATTGTGGCACACTTTTTATGGGGCCATTTATTTAGCTCGCAGGAAATGGTCCCTACCATGAAAGGGGCTCTTGCATAAGCAGCTCTCGATCTCCTATTATTGATATCCAGTGTTGTGAGTAACCGTCCTATGTATGAAGCTGAATTGCTTCTTTGAGGCTGCTCTAAAATAACACAGCACCCCGAAATGAAAGAGAGGGTCTTGAGAAGAATTCAGATATGAAGAAAGCAGTAAATGCGCCACTTCAATCATGATCCACGGGCAGGGCCCTCCTTACCATCTTGTCTTGAATTGTAATGTCTTCCTTATATTGTAAAGCGCTGCGCAAACTGTTGGCGCTATATACATCCTGTATAATAATAATAAGTGATTTACAGTCTCTTTCTGTTTCATTCAAGCACATAATCTTTAATAAAAGGGAAGATTGGTTGTCCTTACCCCAAAGACCAAAAGTCCCCAGTCCTGTCTTGCTCTCTTTCCTCTCTCTGTCTGTGTCCACCCTGACCTTGTTTATCCCTGCAGATAAAGAAGAGCAAAAGTTGAAAGGGGTCATCTACTTCCAGGCCATAGAAGAGGTGTATTATGATCACTTGCGGAGTGCTTCTAAGGTAATACCAATAATAAAAAATAGGTTGTATCTGTCTGTTAAGTGCAAAAAAAAGAGAGAGCATTGATCCTGCCAGATACTTAGTGAGCTTTCCTGTGCTTCTCTGCTATCAGTTACATTACTCCTAGCAATCTCTGAGGACTGCAAAAAAATGCTTTCCCCATCTTATGGAGAAGAGGAGAGGGGTTATTCTGGATTCTTGTCCCAAGGTGACAGCACTGCTCTTTCATACAGAATAGATGGGTGAATTTCCTGTCTGACAGCAATACAAATGTGTCCGAGGGCTTAACCCATCTCCACTCTATCCAAAACCGATAAAAAGGTTTGCCTAGAGATGCACTTTAAGGGCCCATGTACACCATTGTGTTGCAGTAATACAAGGGATACCTCAGTGCATTCCAAAAACCATGACATACCTTGGCGCGATGTGGTACCACCTTATTCTGAATGGCAGCCCAACACCCCAATGCTGCTTTTGTGTGCTTTGCCCAATCAGGACAAACCACCAGGCTTGCATTAATTGCCCCCACCTTAGCATCATACACTTACCTTATCTACGCTCATCTACTGCTCTGTTTAGCTCCAGGAGCTGAAAGGAATACCTGGTACACCTGGGCATAGAGAAGCATGTGACAGCACTGGGCAAATCAGAGCTGTCATAGGGGAAGTTCTCAGCCTTGTATAAGCTACGACTCCAGCAACTCTTCTACAAGGCTTAACAGAGCGTTAGATAATGAAAATGTACTATACAACCTAGGTTGTTTTGGAATAATAATGAAAATGATTTTTATATACATTGGCTGGCCAAAAAAAGTCACACGCTCTAATATTTCGCTGGACCCCCTTTAGCTTTGCCTACGGACCACATTTGCGGTGGCATTGTTTTCAATAGGCTTATGCAATGTCACAACATTTATTTCCGCCCAGAGTTGCAAGATGTTGTAGTGATGATGGGAGAGTTGGACCACTATATAAAGTCTTCTCCAGAACATCCCAAAGATTCTCAATGGGGTTAATGTCTGGACTCTGTGGTGGCCAATCCATGTGTGACAATAATGTCTCATGCTCTCTGAACCGCTCTTTCACAATCTGAGCCCGATGAATCCTGGCATTGTCATCTCGGAATATTCCCAATGTGCCATCATGGAAGAAAAAAAATCAATTGATGGAAAAACCTGGTCATTCAGTATATTCAGGTAGACAGCTGACCTCATATTTTGGGCATATAATATTTCTGAACCTAGACCTGACCAACTGAAGCAACCCCAGATCATAATACTTATCCAATGGAAGGCTCTGACCTATTTGCTTCGCTAAATCCAGGTAGTGACTTTTTTCTGCCCAGGCAGTGTATATTTTATATTTTAATCTTCACAATAGCACTACTGTACTGTAAAATGTAACTTATATGTTTCCTTTACAACCCTTATTGTTTCCAATCATCCATTTTAAGCTCTGAGTGTGGTATGTGATACAGCAAACTGATGTGATATGCTGATACATGTCCATCATATCACTGTGAAATAAAACAATTATTTTACATCCCCAGAGTCCACACCCTAAACTGACGTTTTGTCTGAAGACCTTTGAGCGCCTCTTTTGCATGGTAGCACCGACACCGGAGGCCATGAGGATCTGGATGGATGTCATGGTAACGGCTGCTGAGGAGAACCACCGCTACTGAGGCCTTTTGTGATCGGTGCCAAATGTTTGGGGTAGAGCGAAGATGTCTGGGAAAGAAATAGAGGAAGAGAAAAGCATGAAACACACAGACTGGCTTGTAAAAAGAAGGAACTTGTGAGAGAAATGTGACTGACAAAAGGGAAGAAAAATTAAGAAAGAGCATGTTATAAAACCCGTGACAAAAAAAAAATCTGTGAATTTTTACTAGATGTTCCCTGGTGAAAAACCTTCGTCTGACCCCTGAACATCCAAACAGACCAATTCTTTGCAATATAAAATGGTGTTCTGCTCAGGAAAGTGACTATACCAAAGAGCCATGTAGCCTTGGCCTTCTCTACGGCCTAACCAGTGATGTCTTCCACCAGTGGTTTGCAGTCAGTGTCAAAATGTTAATGGACTTTGTGGATTACCACTGATGCTGAGATATGTGTTAGATTAGATATATCTTTTAATGTCTGTGATATTATATACATGTTAATACATTTTTTTGTAGAATATGGACAGGGTCTAATTGCATGAGCCACTGGAAGCAACCATTAGTTTGGTAATTTCAATTCAGGCAAGTGCTAGCCTTTGGAACAATGACATCACTAAAATACAAAATGGCTGCCTCATGGGGGCCTAGCCCATCAATGGCTGATTTGGACACATGGTAAATGTATCTTCTTGATGTTGCCAGAGGCCCTGGCCATGTAGCAAAATGTGCTCAAGAACATTCAAGCTAGGGAACCTGAGGAACCTACATCCAGAAGGTATCTACTGAGTGGCTTCCAGGACCAGGGGCTATAATGAAAACAGTGATGGGAAAGATGTGCCGAATGAAAGAATTTGAATACATCTATTAATGTAACCATGTTTTAAAAAACCAATAAGACGCATATCTAATCTGAAAGAAAAATCATAACCATTGTTGCTTATGCATATGTTACACTAGATTTCAGTATGTACACTACAGCCATCTAATGACTAGAAAATGCCTACAGACGTGAATGGATAAACCTCATACATTCCTGTTCATGTGGAGCCCACTCATGTTGTGTGTCCACAAATATGGACCTCATTGGGGATTTAAAGCTTTTAGGACTGTCTTAAAGGAAAAGCAGCCGATATGGTCCTCTTAGGCTTCCAAACCAGCAAGCTCTATTAAGGTCTGCTTTTGGTCCCGTCTTTAAAGCACGTTTTGCTTTAATATTCTAAACCACTGTGCACACCAAAAGCTTATCTGACATCATTTTATTGTCGATATGTGGAAATGAAATGCCAATGCTCACAGCCATTATTAAGATACTTCTTTTCTGACAGTCTGATTTTTGATAAGTGGCTGAACAGCCAAAGCTTTGCCACTTTTGGATGGTGTTAAAGGCTGCTGGTCCCTCCTACCCCATACATTCCAGTTGGCCCGCCATTATGATGGGCCGTCTCTTTGGCCGGTATGAATGTGTGGTGGTGGCAGAGGGCGGGAAAGCTCCATCACCACGAAGAAGTGTCACAGTTTTGCCCATTCAGAATGGGCCACCTTTGGACCATAACAGGAGGGAAACGGAAGGGTCTGCAGGTGCTCTTTTACCTTGAAGTACCTAAACTTTATACCTGTTGAGAGATCTTTGTATTTGAAGTGAAAATGTCACTTTGAGATACTTTCCAGTAGTTGTTTCAAGGGTTATAGAATGTTTTTGTGTACTTTTTTACTGTGCAAACTGGAAGCTGGTCATAGATCACATAAGTGTGAATGTGTTTTTATGAAGTTTCTATCGGGTCATTTTGCTGTTGGTTTTAACAGCCAATCAGCAGTCACCTGCCATTGTTGAAGCTGACATTTTATGATTGCTGATGGGTACTGCTCATTATTAGTTTGAGTTCGATTCAATAGGTCACATTAAACTTTCTAAGAGTTGGAAGGTGAACAAAATGGAGGCAAAATGGAATGCCTTTTTCCATGCATTATCTTGGTCCAGATACTTGTCAGGGATGCTGATTAGGTACCTCAAATGGTCACCATCTCTGTACAGTGGTCACAGATACATGCATAAAATGGTGGAATAGCCAGCTTGTAACCAATGGCAGCCAATCACATAGGCTGTTGCCATTGGCCAAACCTTATATAGCTGGTCTGCCCAATCTGTGAACCAGGAACCTCGGACCCCAGCAATCACTAGAGGGATCACTGGTTTGTAAAATGGTTATGCGGGCCTTGGACCCCAGCAATCAGTAGTGTGATTAGGACCACTAGGTTGTAAAGGGAATGCCAGTGATATCTAACAGTCTGAAATAGCATGTACCTAGTTTTTGTCTCCTATAGTGTGTCTTCAATCACACCTGTAGCCCTTCCAGTCTCCGACCATCACCTGAAGGATGTCCACTGTCTCCAAGAATCTTCTGTACTACTACATGAATATTATATGAGGCCCCTTGGTGATGTCAGGGGCCACAGCTAAAGTCCCTATACCCCCTAAGTTGATCACCACTGCTATAGCCCATACAAAATGTTGCCCATTCACAACTGCAGCCTATCAATTATTTGGGAGTTAGTGACATCCCTAAATTTTGTTACTAGCTTTAAACAGTCCACTAGGCACATATGTCATAAAAACCATGTACATGGTTATTACTGAGGTACTTCCGAAAATGCTAGATGCTTGGATGTCATGCAGATCCCTGGAATTTTCGAAAAGAGTCTCTGATCTGGGACAAATATGGAGTTTGGGTGGTTCTGACTTCCGAAAATGCTAAATACTTGGATGCCATGTGGATCCCTGGAATTCCGAGCAGTCTTCGATATGAATTTGGGGGTTCTTATCTGTCATTGTAGATAATTAACTCGAATTTTTCAGCAGGAGTTCAGCAATGGCAGCCCACATATTCATGACAGTAAAATTAAGCCAAGGAAAAATTACACCGCAACCAGGTTTCATCACCCAAATTGAATGTGCAATCTTACTGGTTGCTATGGACAACTGGTTAATTTGTCAGCTGTTTTCTGTCACGTTGTATAATGATCCAATGACTTTGGAATATTGTATATATTTATGCGTAATATGTGTGAAAATGCCATATTGGAAGCCTACTTGTCCTCGGGACCTTGTAGGGTTACTGAAGTATGTAAAATTTGTATATTCCGATGGACTTTTTCGGTAAAGGGGTCGGGGAGGTACTGACAGTTGTACGAAATGCCACATATATTTTTGTTTTTATTTATTGTATATAAATAAAAAAAAAATCTTTGGATGCTTCTGTGAGTGGATTGTTCCTTTTCAGCCAGGCAAGTCATATCAAGACGAAGGTTGAACTTAATGGATCAGGGCAGGGAAGGACTGGGAACTATTGGCTTGGGGGGCTACAGCCAACTAGCCCTTTTCATGGTAGGAACACATTTCTGTAGGCTAAAGAAAGCATGCCATGCAAAGTGTGCCATGGTGCTGAACTGATAAGGTATGTCACAATAATTTATGATCTTTATCACATTTTCCAGCATTAGCTTCCTGTGCCACTCTTGGCATTTGGCCACATTACATCTTAGAGCAGCAAAGGAAGTTGTTGCTGGAAGACTTCCCTCTACCAGACATTGCAATTGCAGTTCTGAGCAGAGAGCAGGGAGCTATATAATATCCATTTGTCACTGACTGCAGGTCCTACTCTGATCTATGTCTATATGGTGAAGTATCTCCAGCCTGGTGGTCTTCTTAAGGGCCACCAGGCCAACCTATCCTACTAGTGCTGACCAGATTACAAATGCCACCACCCCCAGCCCATTCCTTCCTTGCCTGGCTGACAGATTGAGGTTTCTGCACTACTGCTTGGAGAAAATCTTTGTTGGAGAATGATAAATGTATAACTTCAAATATTGTATTACTATATCGATGTTTGTGAAAGCTAAATAAATAAAAAGGTGGATGTGGAAGAGGCCTAGAAGCACCAAGAATATATGTCTGAATCTGCCCAGCTGCGTGAGTGACAGCTGGCTGTGCCTATCTAGAGGCAGAGCCAGCTGTACATGCCCCTCCCCCCGTTCGTTCCACCAGTCAGCGGAGAGCCGGGACAGGATCGAGAAGTGAGCGTTCGCTCACTTCCCGATCTACTGAGCTGACCTGTGACAGTCTCATTGTCACAGGTCGGGTAGAACAATGAGGTGAGTGAAAAGCACTCACCTCATAGTTCTCCTTTAAGTAAGCTGATTTTGCTGCATAGAGCTCATTGATGTATGCAGGCAACTCAGTGGTAAACTATAAGCTCAATTCACAAAGCTAAAACCCCAGCATAAAGATCCTATTTTCAGCTCTGCCCAATGAGATTTGAAAATTTCAGTCACTTGACTGAAAATAAAGATTCTTATCCTTATGTAAAGCTTCATGAATTGAGCCGTGTGTGGGCAAAATTCTGTAGTCTTCAATCTATATAAACTTGTGGGACATCCCACTCTGAAGTCATGGGCATTAACATTGAGCTGCCCTCCACTTCCATAATTTTCATCTATAACAGTCTTTACTATTTGTTACATAGTAAGGTCCATCGAGTTCAACCTATAGAGATGTGAATTTCTTTTTTTAAAATATTTGGGAAGGCCTCTCAAGATTTTGGAGTGTGCTGTCGGAATTTATGCCTATTAGTCAAAATAGCCTTCGTAGGGTCAAATACTGATGCTGGACCAGAAGATCTGGCTGGCAATCTGCGCTATGATTCATCCCAAAGGGGTTCAGTAGGGTTGTGGTCAGATACTGATGTTGGATGAGAAGACCTGGATCACAATTGGCATTTCAATTCACCTCAAAGGTATTCAGCACGGTTAAGGTCAGGGCTCTGTGTAGGCCACTCAAGTTCCTCCACACCAAACTAATCAAACCGTGTCTTTATGGAGCTGGCTTTCTGCACAGGACACAGTCATCTTGGAACAGAAAAGGGCCTTCATCAAACTGTTACCACAAGGTTGGAAGTGTGCAGTTGTCTAAAATGTCTATGTATGCTCTGGGATTAACAGGACCTCACTGATCTCAATAATTAAATTGTTTTTGGCCATATATTTTATATACAGGTAGCCCAGCTGCACATAGAGGCATCGGCCGTCAGCACTGTATCATCCTCATTTACAGTATTATCCACTTGGCAGAATAAATTCTACAAACTAATGATATACTTTACTCCACACTCATGTGATCGGTTCCTGTGACTAGTCATGTGGTTATTATTCCAACAAGTAAGGAAGTTGCAAACAATAACCACTGTATTTAAAAGGCATGGAAGGAAAACGATTAGAATTACAAAGGATGCAGAATAGCAAATCCTTCATAGATCAGGTCTAGTCTATCTATGAAGGTGGACAGCATAACAGAAACATGGCATTATAATGGAGTGTTACTGTGAAGCAGCTATATCAAAATCACACAGCTGCCATGGTCAGGGATCCCAACCTGAAATAAGTCATTTCAGGGAGGTGCCCTTCGCATTTCAGGGAGGTGCCCTCTGTCAACCCCTCTCCGTGGGGGGCTGCAACAACAAGGGAGAGCACCCCCCTAAAATTATGGCAGATCGCAAAGAAGCTAATGCTTCCTCTGCTTTCTGCTGGGTTTTTTTATTGTTCCTACAGCTGCTGCTGCTGCTGTCAGGAAAAAAAACAACAAAACAGCATAGGAACCAGTGGCGGAACTACCAGGGTCACAGAGGTCGCGACATCGACCAGGCCCTGGAGTTCCGCCACTTGGAGGAGGCCCAGGACAGGAGGAAGGGGCCCCTGGTAACCGCTGATTACCAGGATATTTATTATCCCGGTAACCGCTAATGTCAGTCACGGGACCTCTTCCTCCTGTCCTGGGCCCTACATGCTTCACGCTGCTCCCCTCAACTTGTTCCGGGCGCAGCGTGAAGTATCATCCAGCCGGGCAGCAGCCAATGAGTGGGAGCGGTGTAATCCCCGCCCCCTCATCACACAGAACTGCTGCCCAGTGCTGAATAGAGCTGCTGCGGACACGAAGGAGACATGGGGTCCGGGAGCGGAAAGCTGGGGACATGAAGGGGGAGATAATGGGGAGCTAGGGACATGAAAGAGGAGAGTGTTTTTTTTTTCCTTGTCTAAATTTTGTTTAAAAAAAAAAAAGAAATCTAATTGGTTTCTTCTTGGGGGAGGGGAATCGCCCTTCATGGATTCTTGCATCGGGGCCCTGAGGTCACTAGTTACGCCACTGATAGGAACTAATAGCTAGATTGCCATTGGCTATTTCAATTTGCAATAGCCAATAGCAAGCTGGCTATTGCACCCGCCCTCTGCTGCTGTCACTCAGCACAGAGAGGACCTGATGGAGAACTTCAGATCCACCGCTGCTGATTGAAAGCAGCAGAGGGCGGGTGCAGTAGCTAGTTTGCTATTGGCTATTGCAAATTGAAATAGCCAATAGCAATCTACCTATTGGGTGGCACATCCTATGCTATTTTTTTTCTGACTGACTGCGGCTGGCAGCCCCGATGTCAGAAAAAAAACATAGCATGGAAAGGTTTACTCTGCTAGATCGAGCAGAGTAAACCTTTCCGGGAAAAAATGTTTCTGTCCCGGGTGTCTCTATCTAATAGCGGGAGACTCCCGGAACATTCGGGAAAGTTGAGATTTCTGCATGGTAAACCATATTGTTTACCATGCAGACATAAGCTGAAGGAGAGGGTTCTGCATATTAATGGAGGCGGGTTGGTGGGGAATGCCCATAATCATTGGACCGAGAAAGGGACGCAGATAGCGCAGTGTATTTGCTGGTCACAGAGGGGAAAAGGAGCTCCATGTTTATAATAGCGCTATTAAACAGGGGAGTTCGGTGCCGTCTTCACTGAATACAGGTCCAGCCCCCTTGCAGCTGCGCCCGAGGCGAGTGCCTCACCCTTCCTGCGCTCTAGTGTTAACCACCAATGCCCTAGGACATCTGTTCATGAGGGGTGGAGGGCCATGTTTAGAGTGATACCTGATCATATGATGTCTTCGGAACTGCAGTATGTTAGATTGTTTGGTATCGTTTCCCCCATGTTTAGTCCTGTGTATAGGTATAGGATTGTGAGCGTTTAATCATGTAACAACTGACACTAGAGGGCAGCACATGGCCACATTCTCTGGAACTATCACACACTATGGCGTGATATATAATAGCTCTGACATATTCCGCAGTGCTGTACAGAGGACACTGAGTCACATCAGTCTCTGCACCAGAAAAGCTTACACTCTAATGTTCCCATCGCAGTCACACACTATTATACATTTACATAGCTCTAACATATTCTGCAGTGTTGTACATTGAAAACTGAACCAGTCACATCAGGCTCTGCACTAGAGGAGCTTACAGTCTAATACATATGCACCGATATTGGTATCGGTATTGGTGCAGATACCGAGTAATTGGGCAAGTACTCGTACTCGCCCAACTGCAACGATACTTAGCCCAGATTCCATCTGACCGGCAGTGCCACGAGGGAGCATGGATCTGGCTTCCTGGCCAATCAGGAAGCCGGGCGGCAGGTCATAACCCGCATCCCGGCTTCCTAATTAGCATGGAGCTGGCTTCCTGGCCAATCAGGAAGGTGGGTGGCACATTATGACCCGCCTCCTGATTGGTCAGGAATCCAGGCTGCCTAGAAACAAGTGAAGCTGGCTTCCTAGCCAATCAGGAACCCGGGAGGCGGGTCATGACATGCTACCCGACTTCCTGATTGATCAGAAAGCCAGGCTGCCTCGGAACGTGAAGCCGGTGTTCTTTTGATAGAACACAGGCTTCCCAGGCAATCAAAACCCGCTGCTCGGCTTCCGTATAAGCCGGGCCAATGGTACCCCGGGATGCCCGTATCGGTATTCGGGATCGGCAAGTACCGCGGTATACTGAGCTTAGGGTGATGGGAGGACGCTAGTTTGTGTCCTCCCGTTACCTTTAGGAGAACTATGGGGAAAAGCCCTAACCCCATAGTTCTCCTTTAAGTGAATTGAAGCCTAAAGTAAGGGGTTTTAGGGTTAGAACACCTGATGGGTTTTTATTGCCATCTGAAGCCTTGATGGGGAAATGTGTCCCACATTGAGATCTACCCTCACTTCCTATCTGTAGACACATTGTCATCAGGACAACTAGAGAGAAGAATTCTTCCCACCGGGGCCACAGAAATTCAAAAGTCACAAAAAACCCCCCAAAAGGGTTGGTTGTAGATACATTGAATGGTTTCTTTATTTATGGGTAACTGGCCTAAAACAAGAGTGAAAATAAGAGTTTCACTGGCTGAAAACGTGTTCCAGTTCATGGACTCAGAAGATACATAATTCAGGGGACCAGAATGAATGCTAAGCAACTAAGATTTTTTGAACAAGGAGGCCTCCCTAGTATGTGCATCAGCACAGATTACCTTTAAAGAGGCCCTGTCATCCTCTCACGTCTGGCTTTCCGTTGAAAAATCAAGTTAGATTGACTTAGGTGGGCATGTTCCCTCTTCCGGTTCCCTCATTGATGCATTTGCAGGCCCCTTCCCTGAGAACAAAGAGATCTTCACCTCACCTCAACCTAACCACTGAACCATTACATTCTCAAACAATTCATCCCCACACAGCTACTTCCTCATGTATCACTTCTCCCTCCCTTTTAGATTGTAAGCCCTCAGGGGCAGGGCCCTCCTTACCATCTTGTCTTGAAATGTATTGTGATTGTAATGTCTTCCTTACAGGTATATTGTAAATCGCTGAGCACACTGTTGGTGCTATATAAATCCTGTATAATAATATAAAAATAATAATAATAATAATCTTCAGTTTTTTTTATTAACAGGGTCAACCTCTTGCAATTGATCAAGAAAGCATAATCAGAGTAAGAAAAAGCCAAAGCGAAAAGGAGAGTCCATTAGCCGCGTTGCCTTCACTATCCTGAGGCATAGACTTGGATTTTGAACCACCTTCATTGCTTGCGATGGAGCTGCTTGTGGGAGTCACATTTGTCTCTGCTGTTACGTTTATCCACTGCGGTGGAGCCACTGTGGCTTGCGGTTCCTCATTATGATGATTTAGCAGAACAAGATATGGCAGGTTCTCCTGTTCTGTTTTGTTGGACAGGTCGCTGTTGCAGAGGCCTTCTGAACAACAGGCTCCTTTTATCTGGACGGTGGCGCTACCATAGGTTAGACTGTGACTACTGCATCGGTGTCTCATGGAGCAGCTCTTGACAGGTATGGCTGTTGTGTCGTTACCTGGACAACAGAAAAAGTCAAACATTTAACACGGGAGGATTGAAAGAGCGATCATTTGTGTCCAACAGGTTACTTGTCCCAAGAGAAACATATTTATCATTGAGAACCTTCTTCTGAAAACAATAGTTGCCTGGCTAGTTATCTGGCCACTATAATTTGAGTTTCTAGCCTAGAACAAGCATGTAGCCTATGAAGTAAGGGGCTCACAAAGTAGTGAAGCCTTGAGATCAATTGCAGCCCACTTATTTCTCTCTTCTCGAGGATCTCACTAATTAAAAGTCACTCTATATTCGATATTCTTACAATGGCAGCTCCACCTTCCTCAGTAAATATCATTCTACTTTTTACGTACCTTCTCCATGAGTGACGGAATTTACTTCTTTGCCCCTGTGATATCACCATAGGGGCCACCATCATCTCACTCAGTCAGAGCCAAGAAGAAGGATCCAAGTGGGTGCCTTACATCACTTCTTCCAGAAGCTGGGTGCCCTATTGGATACGAGTCCTGTGGTGAGTCCCAGGGCAGGTGACAACATTGATAACCTTCCTCCTGAGCATAGGTGACTATGCAGTGCTGAGCAGGGTGACAACGCTGCAGTGAGCTCACTTAAGGCCAGCCAGCGTTGTTTGCCCCCTGCTGCAAATAGGGGTAGTCACTGGCAGGATGACCAGGTATTTATTGATATTATTCTACATCAAATTTAAATTTGTGAAGTGCCGAATAATTTAAAGTGAAACTATGGCCTGTCATTAAAAAGTAAAATATGTCCTTTAGCACTTAATTATAATTCCATCTACCCTTACAGTTTTCTTTTAGTCCCCCTGGAAAGTCCCACAAATAGCTGTTGATCCTGCCTAACCTAATGCAGTTTCCAGTGATGGGTGGCAACCATGCTGCACTGCTTCTGAATCCAGAACTAACCTAATGCAGTTTCCTGTGATGGGTGGCCACCATGCTACACTGCTTCTGAATCCAGAGCTAACCTAATGCAGCTTTCTGTGATGGGTAGCCACCATGCTGCACTGCTTCCAAATCCAGAGCTAACCTAATGCAGCTTTCTGTGATGGGTGGCAACCATGCTGCACTGCTTCTGAATCGAGATCTGAGTTGCCACCTTCATATTGGCTGTGTCTGCTTGCACTACAGTGGGATGAGAAGATGTTGCAGGGAGTGTGGCTATCATCATCATAATCATCACTGCTGATTGCACAATCCTGCAGCATGTCAATCAGCACCTGGCCACACCCAATCCCACCCACTGCTTTCTGGATTGACAGCCCTGCCTCTGTGAGCTGCAGTGTCTGGTAGAGGCAGGGTCGGTGCTAGATTATTTTGCACCCCCCCCAGCCCCCCTCCTGTGCAGCTCCATTCTCCTGCCTGCTAGCTTCCGCAGGCGACAGGTGAATGCAAGCATCTGGGAGCAATAGCCAGACTGCTATTGGCTATTTTAGTTTGAAATAGCCAATAGCAGACTGGCTATTGAAACACCATATACTGAGCACAGAGGAGCGGACCTGAGAGAGAAAGTTGTCTCTCAGTTCCGCTCCTCTACTCAGTGGGTGGGTTCAATAGCCAGCCTGCCATTAGCTTTTGCAATCTGAAATAGAGGGGTGGGGGCATCGTGGGGGGTGGGGGGGTGAGTGGTTAAGGCTGCACCCTAGGCATCAGTGCGCCCTAGGCGGCAGCACCGGCTCTGGGTAGAGGGAGTGCATAAGACAGAAATGAAGGAGAATTGGCTCAGTCAGGGGTGATAAAGGAAAGTTGACTTTACTTGTGAATCACATAACTGGATTTTGTACTTGTTTAGACTGTCATACAGGAGCCTTTGGATGTACTTTTATTATAAATGATGTTTGCAGAGTATTTTTTTTTTAATGAGGGTATAATTGTACTAATAATTGTATTATTTATTATACAATTGTATTGTATATTTGTACCCTAATAAGCTGCATGTTTAAAACTTTTTGATCTATTTAATTTAATTTAAAACATTTAACGTTTTTATACACTAAACTTTTACTGTATATAATTGTTAATTATTGATAAATTAGGGTTATTGCATAAATAAACCTTTATTACAGGGCACACCCATGGCATTTAGCTTACAAAACGTTCTGGGCTTTCTAATAAGCAAGCCCAGCACTGCCTTCTTATCTTGTGGCACTTTGTATTTCCACTAGTTAGGACATCTCTGTCTGAGGATTTAAAGGGATGGGTCGTCTAATATTCCAGGTCTATGTTAGCCACAACAGCTGCTCTCTGTGAGATGCGTGAAGCCCAGAAGTCTGTAAGCCAAACCAATCTCAAAACTTAACCTGACTTGCAATTCAGTATTCCAGTCTTGGGTCTTCAGGGGCAGTTAGAAGAAAACATTTTTGGCTGCTGTCAGGGCTGGATTTGCTCTCTCTGCTGCCCCAAGGCCAGGTTCCACAATACACCCCCCCTACTCACTAACCCACCCAATGGACCAATGGAGAATGGCAGACCTGCAGGCTAAAATAAGCAGTGGCTTCGCCGCTGTACATTTAGCTCTGCTCGCCTAAATCAGGGCTAAATGTAGAAAACAACTACCCGCCCGGTGCCTGGAACTGCATGTCGGGAGATAGGAATTCCACACCTCTGCTGCCCCTTCACTCCCTGCTGCCCCAAGGCCGGGCCTTGGTTGGCCTTGTGGGAAATCTGGCCCTGGCTGCAGTTGGGTTTGAATTAGTGTTGAAGGTTCCGCTCCTGCTTTTTTCAATTAACACTCTAATGTTCACGTGCAATGAAAGATGTAATTACCAATAGATATGGTGATATTCCCGTCAAAGCAGTGGCTGTAGGTGTCGTAGCATTGCATGACGGGAGCGTTGGATGGCGAGCACTCTGCATCAGGCGTTCCTACACAGCTGTAGCATTGCTCATCGTTGGGTACATGAGTTACATTATCTGTATAGAGATAAAACACAATGACATCATTGTTTGGCATTCTGTGCCAAGAACACAAATGTGAGTTGTTTTAAAGGTTTAATTCACACCGAGCCATAATTTGGGAACAGGTTTGTCAGGCAGAAACTTTTCAAACAGAGGAACCAGCCAAACAAGCTGAAAAAGGTTAGTGTAGGCGATGTGTAATGATGCGGTTGTCAAGATTGGACCGGAGTCACATTAGATTCTTTGTGTTACATAAATGTAACTATAGCTACAGAATCTTATGAAGATACTATAGGGCCTGCTACCAGAGTTGGATCATCCACAGAGCAATGTAAGCAGCAAGAGCCTATTGGATGTCCAGTGGGTCAAGCTACAACCTTTATACTACCCCTCTTCACCAGGGGGATAGCGCAATTATTCAAAGTTGTGCATCTACCAGAGCTAGAGCTTTCCAATCAGCAGAGAGCATGAGCTTTGCTGATTGGAGAGCCCTAGCTCTGACGCAGTAGAGGGCATGTCGCTCCTCTGCAGAGAGACCACTGCCTCCATAGAGAGGACAAAGGTCCTTCTTTGCAGCTTGCTGGCAGGGGACAGGCCTTTCTGCCCAGGCTATAGGAACAAAAGGTGTTCAAGGTCTTACAGGTAATTGTAGTTAGAAAGCAACCACAGCCTAGAGTAGAAAAGCCTGTGCCCTGCCAGCATGCTCTAGAGCAGGACCCTTGCTCTCTGTGTGGAAGCAGTGATCTCTCTGCAGAGGTCAGACATGCCCCCTGCTGAGTCATAGCTAGAGCTTGCCAATTATGAGGGAGAATGAGCTTTGCTGATCACAGAGCTATAGGTTTGATCCCCAGGCATGGTGTCACCTGGTGCTGCTGCTGTGTGTCAACCGCTGATACGTCATCACGCACACACGCAACGTCATTGCGCATGTGCGTGACATCATCGCATATGCGCGTAATAACGGCACACGCACTTAACTGCCATCGCCGATCTTGGTGACAGATGCGGGCAAAGAGAGAAGGGGACTTTCACACGGGGGATAAGGTATACCTCCGGGTCCCCTTCTCTGTCCTGCAGCTGTTGGGCTCTCGGTCCATGACCGAGTGCACGACTTTTCAGAGGGGGTGACACCAAAATGACTAACGGTCATTTTGGTGTCACCCCCTCTACTGGTGTCACCAGGTGCCGGCCGCACTCCCTGCAACCCCCTTGTGAAGCACTGGGTTTTACTCAACAGGGCGTATGTCAGGCCTCTGAAGAGAGACCACTGCTTCCATACAGAGGACAAAGGTCTTTCTCTGTAGCATGCTGGCAGGGGACAGGCTTTCCTGATTTGATTTGGAGTACTTGCAATGTATTTACCAAATTTAAACTGATTGTTCAATAGGGGTTCTGTGTTATTTAATGTTATTCAATGGTAAAGAAATAAAATGTAAATAAAATATGTAATAAAATAAAATGAATTGAAGATTGTTAAATCTCATTGTTATGCTCTATTAATAAAAGCTGTGGCCATAATTTCCGATGTTAAAAAGCTCTGAGTGCAATTATTTCAGGGTCCCCTTCCTTGTTTGGCTCTGCCCATTCATGTAATGTACATAGTACGGTATAAGTGGATGGTCCACTTTTATTACAAGTGTTTCAGAGAACGATCATTCAAACATTTACCATCAGGGGCCAGTTGGTAGTGTTTCAGGTCCATGTTGGTGTTGCACAAGCTGGTGTTGCATTGGTTAAGCTGCATATATATAGATATTCCATAGGATATTATGCTTTGTTTCAGCATGGTGGGAACACCATAGCCACAGCCTTTCTTCAGCACAACATGGTTGGCATGACCTATTGAACAAGAGAACTTTATTAATACATAGCCATCATCAGCACAAGATTGCTATTGGAATTTTTTATCAAAAGATGGCTGTCTTGATATATTGAATTTAATACTTGTTCTACATACTCGTCTTTATGGCTGTGATGGTCTCCAGGCACATGTCATGGTCCAGAGGGCAGGAAACATTCACTGCTTTGTCCGGTGAGCAGCCTCCATCTCCTCGATCCGTGCAGGTATAACACTCAGTGACCACTGCCTGGACACCTGATGCATAGGATGAATAATGAACGTCACTTAAAGCTGAACCCCATTCAGGTATAAAAGGCACAAATTATTGAAGCTCTGCAATCATGAATATATCATTATTGTTTAATGAGAGCAGTGCATGACGCTGTTTCACCAGGTATCGGCCTCTTGCCATCTGTACAGCAGAGCTAAAGTAGCATTAAGGTCTGGGCGTTTTTTTACCTTAATGCATTCTCGGCAAAACAGCCCAGCTCCTTTTTTCGACCCCAGTCCCCCCATACTTACCTGTCAGCTGCGCTCGTCCACGCCGCCGGTCCTGAAGCGACCCTCCGTATCCCGAACTTCCAGGTTGCGGGGGAGGATACTGATGGCAGAGGAGCCAAAGGCTCCTACTGCCATCAATCAAAGAGGGAAGGGGCGTGGCCTGCCACAGGGCTGTGTGTGTCTAGCCGCTGCGGGCACGAGCGTGCACGGGTGCCTACATTAGAACGATGGTGGCACCGGTGCAGGGGGCGGGGGGAAGAGCATGGCGGGGACACACTAGAAAACGAGGAAAGAGGTACTTTTAAAGAAAAAACGCAACATCCTCCTGCAAAGGAGGGTCTCCTTAAAGGAGAACTATGAGGTGAGTGCTTTTCACTCACCTCATAGTTCTAGCCGACCTGTGACAATGAGACTGTCACAGGTCGGCTCAGTAGTTCGGGAGGTGAGCGAACACATACCGGGTTCGCTCACCTCTCAACCCTGTCACGGCTCTCTGCCGTGACAGGGGAGGGGCTGGATTCCCCCCTCCCCGCTCCGATCCGCCAGCGCTAACTGGCGGAACGGACGGGGGAGGGGGCGGGTACAGCTGGTTCTGCCTCTAGATAGGCAGAGCCAGCTGTCAGTCACGCAGCTGGGCGGATCTCGACATCTACATCGGGATCCGCTCCGGCTGCGGCGTCTCAGTATACCGCGAGCTGTAGCTCACGGTATACTGAGCCTAATGTGACGGGAGGACGCTAGTTTGTGTCCTCCCGGTACCCTAAGGAGAACTATGGGGAAAAGCCCTGACCCCATAGTTCTCCTTTAAAGGAAACATAAAAACATTTTTTGGCTTTAATATCACTTTAAGGGAGGGGGTAGAAGAAGCAGCACAAGAAGCCAATTAGGTGCGCTGCAGTGTAAGAATCATGTTGTTAGGAAAAGAAGGTGGAGTGACAGAGAGATGAGTTCATCAGCCTTCTGCTTCTCCTTTCAATGTCTAGTCACAAGGTGGGGACAGGGAGGGGACCTTTAAATTTCAACAGAGAAACATCAGGTCCCCTCCACTGCCAGACAAGGCTGTGCTGTGGGGACAAAGCTGTGTTCATTTCAGGACTGGATAGACAGTAATGATTTTCCATTGACATATAAAAAAAAGCCCCCGGTTTTAAAAGAAGTGGTCAGTAATGGCAACCTACATATTTCTCCCATGATGGGTTTGCTTTAAAGCTGAGCTCCGGGAT